GTAAAGTGCCTTTCCCAAGGACACAACGTCGGGTCCCTGACGGGATTCGAACCCACGACCTTACGGTTGCGAGTCCGAGAGCCTAACCACTAGGCCACCAACGCCACAAATATATTTGTTTCTCAAAGATGTTACTGATACCTGCGTGCTGAAAACCTTAACATGACAGAACAGGAACATAGACCCAGGCCAAATATGTTGCTCCGATATTAGTATGAATCATAAGTGAGGCATGCTGACAAAATGAATTACATCTCGCAGTTCGAGAAGGGAGGTATCGGCCAAAAATCAACACTAGCGCCAGATTGTAGATTTTTAGTTGATGTCATTTTGTTCAAGTTTACCATATCTTTTATAATTCCATACATACAAATTGTACAAATTCCACCTAAAAAGTTGATGTATCAATTTCCATGAGGCTAAAATCCAAGAAGTAATTCATTTTGTTAGCACACCTCACAATCAATATTATTTTCTTCTAGCAATATTTTCCCATGCCTCCATCATTCATTCCAGTAAAAGTAGTTTCAGACCCTTAGATGTGGGTGCTGATGATGCACCTTATAAATTAGGGCAGTGCAAATTCACACTAATAATATAATAATAATAAATAGCATTTGTATAGCGCATTACCCCACTCTACAACAAGCTCTATGTGCTTTACACTATATATTACTACCCTAGCAGACCATAGAATACTAAGAAACATTCTCAGCTTCCTAGGAAGCATACAATGCAAGCAGCTGATTAAGCGCTCAAACACTAACAAACTGAAAAAATCTTCAGTCTATAGCCGGGTACCCATTCCCACTTGGGAGAAGTGAGGAAAATTAGTGTAAACTACCTTTCCCAAGGACACAACATCGGGTCGCTGATGGGATTCCAACCCATGACCTTATGGTTGCGAGTCTGAGAGCCTAACCACTAGGCACTACAATGACAACATTTCACAGAGAAAAGAATAGGGAAATAGCAACACTGAAAATTAAAGTTGAAGAAAGATGACCTCACTAGAGCATTCACCAAACATTTCCACAGATTATATATATTTAAATCAAGACAAAGAAAATAACAACATCAGAAATTTTGGAGAGGACTTACCATATCCATTATTGGTGGTGTGATCTGCAGAGGGGCCAGTCCCAACACTATTCGTTTTGTTAGCAAATCGTGTCCAATCGAAAACATCAGCTGTCAATTGTGTATAGCCGCAGGTATCGATTTCAAAATCACATGTAGCTGAAAGAAAAAATATTGTGAGAAGGCATCAAAGACCTAGTTGTACCTGATTCTGTGGGCTGAAGATGCAGGTGCATAAATCTCACTGAGATGAAGAGCTGAAAGACAAATCTGGTGTTACAAGCAACATTGAGTAAATGAGAGAAGATAAGAAAAGTGTTACAATCATTGAGCGAGGGAGAGAAGATAAAAGTGTTACAAAGATTGAGTGATTGAGAGAAGATAAACTTGTTACGAGCATTGAGCAAGGAAGAGAAGATATCAATAAGAAAAAGAGAAACTTAGAGGGTGAATGAGGGACGACTGAAGGAAGATAGATGTACTGAAAATAGAAATAAGTGAGAACAAGGGGGGAAGGAGAACAGGAAGGGATGGGAAGAGAGAGAGAGAGAGAGAGAGAGAGAGAGAGAGAGAGAGAGAGAGAGAGAGTGGGGGGGGGAAGAAGTGCAGGCAAACATGGAAAGTAATGACACAAAGAGAGAAATAAATAGTGTACCGCGCCCGGGCGACATTTATGTGCGGTCATAAACCCCGATGCCTCAGACGGAAGGCTCCGACACTTCCAGGCTTCCTCCTTCACACGCTTCCTCCCTGTTTTTGTTTGTATATTTATACCCCTACCCTTTCTCTATTTTACACATTTCGCTCTTCCTGTCTCTATCTTTTGTCTTGATTATAATTTCCTCCTTTTTTTCTTTTTGTCTACTTTATCACCGTCTCTAAAAATGAACTCTCTCCTTGTTTCAAAGTAAATGGATCTTTCCTTCTTCTTCTTCTTCTTCTTCTTCTTCTCTCTCTCTGTCTCTCTCTCTCTGTCTCTCTCTCTCTGTCTCTCTCTCTCTCTCCCTCCCCGTCTCCTCTCCCCCCCCCTTTCTCTCTCTCTT